GAAGCCTCCAAAAACTTTTATAAGCCCCTCGGCGCTTATTCGAGCATTCACGGTATTGCTTCATATGATGATTCATTATGGAGTACTGCATGTTGATATTTGATAATCTGTTGTTATTATTTTGCCAGGGCCAGATGGTTGTGTGATATCTTTGATAATTATGTACTAGTAAGTCATCACGAACCAACAAAATATACGATCGACAATTGACGAGACTTTATGCGTTACCATAGCCTATATTATATAGGCCTACCTATAAAACAGTAAGTTTCGTGACAAAATGTTACTGTAACCATGGCAATTCTTAGATTATTATTTCTATACAGAATATCAAGGATAATACGTTTATATTTTCATGTCTCTTTTCATTACATCATTTAAACATATATCACCTTAGTTCCCACGCAATTGGTTCCATTTTATATATATTTAAGAATGTCCTTGGCATGTGTTGCCTTAGGTTACGGTAATATTTTACGTGGTCTAGAATTAGGCCTATTAATAGAGTTAAATTTTGTTTTACTGTTCACGATCCTTTCCCATAAAAAACCAATCGTCATTTCATCTTAATATAACCATTGTTTACACTAGCTGCATAACAATTGCCTCATTCGCTTATTGTAGCATGTTAAAAAAAAAAAACAATATAATACAAAACAACAAAAACTATAAAAATGGGTTATTTTTAAATATATTTACTGTTGCGCAAAAAAAATATAAGTTTTATTATACAGAAACAGACAACATCATGATGTGGCTGGTTTTTCAATTTTTGTTTACTCCCTCTACAGTTAAATTTAACTAAATGTATACCAATTCTCTATTTGAGATTCTACGTTAATTTAATTTAATTTAATTTAGAGCAATTTTATATCCCTTTAATTTTCATTAAAAAAATTATATTGTTTTATTTTTGTGTTTGGATATTGTGATTATATTTAATCATATAAAAAGTGATAGCGGTTATCTAGGTTAATTTGAATTGGCAAAAATAAACCGTTTGTTAGTGTCAGAAAGTAATTTCTGTAAATGATGTAAATTTGTGTAAGAAAATTTAGAAGTCTGTTGTAATTTAACTTTCTAGAGTGCCAATCAAATATAATTGGCAAATAAGAACAGAGCAAGAGGAACAACAAACACGTGTTGTCTCTAACAAACACGTGTTGTTCCACACATACCCCCGTGTTTGCGTATGTTTTAACATTCTGTCGTTTTATGTTACCTTAGCAACAGTATCCAAGGCGCGAGGCTAGTACAGTTTAACCAACACGACATAAAGCCTTAATCGCTCTCTCTTCAGATGATCAACGCGTTGGTGTCAATAGTTTACGCACTGTTAAATTAAGGCCGTAAGTGGCCTTCAATTTCATATTGCAAACTCATTTAAAAGATTATATCGAACATTTGTAATATATTTATTGTGCACCGAAGTCTATAAGGCCAGCATAGTAACTTAATGCCATTAATGGCTTCCATAGTAACAACTGTACTTTTGTGTAATCCCCATTATTTATGCATTGTGGTTAGTAAATTTAATAAACACTATGAACTTTTAGTGATAAAGTATTGTAAGTAGGATTTCTAAAAGTACGTACGTTAAAATAATTACTACTTCATCTATACTCTTTCGTTATTAGTCGTAGGTCTAAAGGGCCAGCATATTAACTTAATACCATTAATGGTTTCCATAGTAACAGCTGTACTTTTGTGTAATCCCCATTATTTATGTATTGTGGTTAGTAAATTTAATTAAACTTTTAGTGATAAAGTATTGTAAATAGGATTTCTAAAAGTAGATACGTTAAAATAATTACTACTTCATCTATATTCTTTCATTATTAGTCGTACACAATTAGTTCCCGATATATGATGCGAATTGTTCAGAATTAAAATGTGTAACGACCTCGAGAATTTATTGAGAAAGTTTATTTACGATAGCTATCCCTGGTAACTGACTGTGAGAGACTGGTAGTGTGAAAGTGTTCGCTGCGTGCAGGGTGGCCCGCGCGCATTGCGTATCTCGGCGCATCGTTTTGATCATAAAAATAATTTATTGACCTGATCTGAGCGCATCTCCAAGACCCTAGGCGCTCAAGATCATTGCCAGGTCATTGAATCAAACATTAACATTAAACACCTAATTTCATTTGGGAATATTCCATTATGCTGCAGATAATCAGCGACTTGACATTCAAATTACCTACGTAAAGATTAAGAGACGGCTACGTCAATTAAATGCCTTATTTAGAGACACAATGTGAGTATAGTGGGAATCGTACCACGGCCTTTATAATCACAAACGCTGCGTTAACCACTGCGTCAACCGCTGCGTTGACTAGTGCAGTACTCAAAACTCAAAAGGCGATGCTTTTCTTCCTTTTTGTCTACTAGGCCTATATGGTGCTACAGTACAACCTCACCGTAGCCCGACTATGGAGACATGCTGAATTGCTGACTTGCAAACATAAGGTCCGTACTATTTTAAATAAATTACAATAAAACAACCCATAGTAAAAGCAAATTGTGATTTGCAAGATATATTATAGATTTAACATAATGTAATAAAGAGATTACATTTTGAAAAGTGAGGCATTTAATGTGGAATTAAAACAAGATAAAAGACTGTGTGTCCACTTACCTGTCAATGGAGATCACGAGCAATGTATTGACGGATGCGAACATGGATATCATCAGCACAGAGTTCATGATAGTACACAACACAGGCCCGAATATCCAGTGCTCTATCAGCTTGTTGTGGAAGTTGAATGGTGCGCACCAAATGGCAAGCAACAAGTCCGAGAACGCAAGGTTTGCAATCAGCAGGTTCGTCACACTACGCAGACGACGGCGAGATAGAATAATTATTATCAACAAACTGTTCCCGACACCGCATACAAAAATTATCAAGGCATATAATATTATGAGCGTAAGTTTTATGATTACACTTCGTTCTCCAAATAAACTGACACATTCCAGATCAATGTAGGAATACGATAAATTAATATATTCGTACGAGAAGCCGTCCATGATTGTTTTTTGCCGTCGATACGCTGCTTTTCCAATACAGAATTGTACACGATCAAAAATAATAACTGACCAATAACTACTAGCAACCTGTAATAAACAAAATTAAGCTAAATGTGTATTGTAGGTTTGTATGGCGAGTAGGCATATCAATAATATAATGATAATTAAACTTTCGGTAGGCCTACTCCATGTGTGTAAAGGGGAATACGAGTTTTGAGATAGAAGAATTTGTTGTCGGTTGGCTCGATGTTTCCTTTAAACTTAAATTGACCAATGAAAATTATCTTTTATCGGCTCCTAATGAGGATCAGATCAATCTCACCAGTAGAATGCACCGCAACTTCGCGAGTGCCACTAATACGAAATGTATATTCAATAAAGATTATTATTTATCCTATAAAAAAAACCAAACAAAAGCATATTCTTACACATGGTGAAGTTAATTAAAAGTGAAAATGTGCTCATCCCCTCAACCAAAAATGTTAAAAGTACGGTAGCTCACGTGTCCCCGGGTAAAATATAGGCCTAAATTATCATAACAAAAAAAAAATTAGTGCCTGCTCCCGACATAAAATACTATCCAACTTGGATGAGTACAGCCAACCTCAATTTACAGAATTAAACTCTCACGCAGTTCTTCACTTACATGTATGCATTCTAATTAATAGGCAATCTCTTAAGGCCAACTCAGACAGCGTCGTACGACGCAGCCCGACGCGATTCATCGTCGGGGACAGTCTTGAACCGACGTGAGAAATATTAAGCATGTTTAATATTCTACGACGCGACTGCGCCGGCCGGACGCAAACCATCGCGTGTCTGTGTTTTTAACACACAGACCCGACGCGACAACAAATCGCGTCGAGCTGCGTCGTACAACGCTATCTGAGTTGGCATTTATATATCGTGGAATGTAGTATAATGAACATACTGATGAGAATAAGATCACATAACAGTTAAATTTGGAAAAAGAAAAAAAAACAAAGAACTACTGACCAATTTGCCGAGGTTTTCGGCCTCAAATGTCCACTCGACCACTGGTAATGTCCACTCGAAAAGCCTAATGTAGAGTAATATTATACCTTCATGGTGATACTAACTATACATTTTGATCATGCAGAACAGTCATTTATTAACAATGCAAGCATTTTGCTTTCCACTGCTTTTTAAATATCGGCACGACTAATTCATTTATACGCATGCGCACAGTTTTAACCAATGAAAGTGATTGATAGACACAAAACTTAGCCGCCAATCGGATGACGGTTTTATGATCTGTTCACAGTGGGGAATCATATTGTGCTCACGCTCTAAGTTTTGAGATGATTCCTTTGCCAACGTTAGTTGTAGAAAGGGTGTTGGTGACGGCAGAAACGCATTCCATTCCACTCATATAAAGCGTTATATTGCCCCACAATAAAATGTGTTCTCTATCAATTAATTTGATTGAGTAGGGCCTAAAAATCTTTGAGTTAGAGCCACGGAATTAAATTATGACGTCATTATGGGTCATTATCTCTGAGAAAATTTACTTGTACATCGTGGTACTGGTTTCATTTCACTTTCAAAAACGCAACGATAGGAAAACACAATTTCCTTCTTGGTTGAAGCCACCTGGGCAAAAGATTGAAGCTCATTTTGTAGGGAAGTATAAACTTAGAGAAATACACAAAATCATTTTCTTTTCAATAGCTAGGCCTATAATGGAATATTGCATAGGAACTGGTTCAATGATTTTGTGTTGCAAACGAAGAAGCCTGTGTTACGGTATCTTATATTCTCGCACAGAATTGAAAATAGGCCTATTTAAAAATTCCTGAAATTGTTTGATGACATGTTAGTGGGGATGTGTCGTATCTGATCCTGAGACCCTCACAATATGTAGATACATCAATGCTTCTATCTTGCACATTAATACAAATTTTCTGTTTTAGTTTACCGTAACAAATCTTATTGTAAATTGTCATGTAAATGAAAATAAAGGAAATCGTATCGTATACGGTATTCTACATTATGTTATGATTTACTGTACCCATATTTTTAATTTTATCACTATTGTTGTTATTATTCATTGGTTTCATTTTTCCCATCTTATTACATGAGGGAAAATAGTACGAAGGTGAATCGCTTATACATTTACAAAATAAATATAGGCATATTGCAATATGTATGAGTTCTTGCATAAGGCATTTTCTTCACTCATAATATTGCTGATAATGTTGAGGATGTAGATGTTTACTATAATTTTTTTTAAATGTCACCGGAGCTAATAACATAAAGTAGCATGAAAGTCAAACTATATTCAGTGATTGAATACAATTCCAGGGCCTAAGTGAATAGTCAGATAACTAATGTAACTTGAGCTAAAAATGAATTAAGAGGGTGAAAAATATCAATTGATGGTTCATTGTTTGTAACTGAATTATGTAAAGAGGTAAGTCTACTGATAAATTCATTTCAGTTACGTTAAATCTACATGTTGGGACGGGGAAGTTTCCCTTATAATTATTATCACAGTGTCTGATGTTACTTTTCAAATCCGATTTTGAAATGATAAATCGGCTGTTTTATTTGTTATTTATTTTTTATTACTGTCGAACCTGTTCAGTGTATTAAGCTACTGTTCTCCCACAGGCCCCACGTGTGCTTTATAGACTAACAGTACGGGGCTTAGTGAGTGGGGCTGTTTTAAAGTCGTCAGTTGTGCCTGTGATTGGGTTAATCATTTCGACTGTAACCTGGTAACTGTAGGCTTGTCGCCCGAGTGTACGATTTCAGCCGATTCATAGGCTAATAGTTTTGATATGATGCATCTCTGAAGCGAGATTCACGTAGGCTTAATACCATGGACTTATCAATAAGACTTATACATTGGTACACTCATGGACATATTAATAGGTCCCTGGTACAATAGGTAAACTCTAAGCCTTCTAGTTCTAGCGATACGGTAATGCTGTAATTATAATACATAGCCTAAATTTTAACGGGTCAGTGAAAAAATAAATGCCTGTGACCAGGATTCGAACCCGGGACCTTCTGAACTGATCATTCACACTGTTTTGCGCATGCATAATTGAACAGCACCAGGCACTAATTGTTGCTAAGTAAATACAACTTAAAACTTGAAAAGAGATAATAAGAAGTAGGTTATATATTTTAGAATTTACGCATTACATTTAGGTGAAGCAGTCGGTGCAACAGTTACTCGTACTCTCAACCTTGGGGTGGGGGTTCGAAGTTGTCCAAGTCGCTTCTGTCTATGGGCAAGACGCTTTATCAGCTTTTGTCTCTACCTACAATAGATACCGGCATATGCTGCAGCTGGGAAGAAAGCAAACTTATTTTGAGGAAGCGGTGGGGAGCCCCCACAACATTGCACAATGGCCTAAACGCCATAAGAAAGAGAGATGGGCAATACAGCTTCATTGTTTTGACCATTACCTTACTTTTTTTTAAATTTTTCCAAGTTTTGGTTTCTATCCTATATAAACCTGGAAGATACCTCAAAACAACGTCTGGTGGTTTGGTAGTTGGTACACTAGACCCTACGATTAGAAAGCAAGCATCTTAACCACTACGCTATTCCATTCCATTCTATCTGTCAACACGTAATGTTTCTTCATATCCGATTGGTTGGATTGGGCGACGCAAGAATTCTTCCCAAGTAAAATGTAACACGAGTTATAGGCCCACTTGTAAACTACCTTAATACTATCATATTTTTATGGAATTTTAACAAAACGTTAAACACAGCATCACTCATCTTCTTTCAACCATTTAGTAGATAGGTTAATCAAGCTTTAAGAGTTTAAATCGTCTTCTCTTGAACGTCATCAGAACACCTGGTGAGACGTGTCCTACCTGTCAACACGTTAAAGCTATCGGTAAGCCAATAAAGTGCTCCTAACAACCGCGGATTAGCGGTTTGTCTAAGTCTTGACTTATATATATGGATGTGTATTGCAAATGCGCTTATCAGATCGTAAACACATGGGGCATGTAATTGATTTGTTTGATATTAATTGTAGCCTGTGCTGCAAGCGAAGTCTTCTGATATTGCGCATAATTATTGATATCATCATGTTAAACTCCATTAGCTTTATGTAAAACTAAGCTCCTATTTTCAGCATGCTCAGCGATCAAATTCCAGTAGTTAAATTGGGAAAAAATAATCTGACGACTTCCTAGTACAACAGGAACCTAAGTACTGCGAGCTGCATTAAGGCTCTATTGAAAGCAATTTACACACGCTAACGCGTTTACACAAGCAATGTGTCTGCGTCAACAATTCCACATTACTTACCGGTACTCTAATGGGAGAGCCGAGCGTTACACCTTTGCAATTTTGCATTCGGTAATTCAATTAAATTCTTTATTTCAAACAATTAATATCCATATAATACAAAAAAAAAGACAAAGGAGAACACATATTAATTAATCTTACTGATTGAACAAACTGTGCACAATAATAATGTAATACCGTACTGTACGGTGGAATATTTCTTTCCATTCACAACGCGCAATCCAATCGTGCGTGCACATGCGCACAGGCCTACGTTATTTTGTCTATTAAGTTTCCCTCATCTCTATTGAGACAGTTACTTGACTCAGTACCACGTCGCCATTAGGAATTTCCTTATGCTCCAAAGATATAAATTTGTATTGCGTAATTGTATTCCCGTTAAATACACGCTTAGTGAATTTTAAATGCATCTACTTTTACACGCAAATTTATGACTCTGAGCATTTAATTCTTGGAGATTTAACACTGATTGGTTACAGTAAACTAATTGTTTCTATATCACTGTTCTACATTGATTAATTGTTGTGATTAATTTCTAACCGCTCGAAATAGATTTTAGCATAATTTTATTTGCTATAATGAAATGCTGAGATCCATGACTTATACTACGTGCATTTATTATACTTGTAAGTTGTTTTTTGTTTGTCTTTCGATGCAGTGGTCGATGATGTACAGTCCCAGTTTGATCTTCATTTTGATGTTTCGATGAATAATAATTGTTTGAAGCAATTTATGACTTTTTCTTTTATTTAAAATCATTTAGCGTAAGTGATATATTCGACAGATTGTAAATTTAATGGTGGTTAGGCTATTTAGTCTTGTTTTGGTGTTCCAATTTTGTTATGAGTCTGTATAATTTAATGCTTTTGTGTTTTCGTTTGATTGACTGTTGTATGCACATATATGGTCGTGGTGTCTATATGTGGTCATGACCATATTTAGGCATGACATGTTTTTGTCAATTAAAATGTGACAGCCTGGAAATGGCTTTACTTTGTCTTACTCTTATACAGTACTGTTTGTGTTGCAATGGTTGCAATGTACAATAAGTCAATATTTGTATCGTATTACGTTGTATAGATCCTCAAGCCCCGCCCCTTGGATATTGTCGCTAAGGTCCCACAAGACGACAGTTGTTAAAACATACGCGAACACGTGCGTGTGTTTGTGAGGCGCGCGCCTATTCCTAGCGCTGTTCTGATTAGTCAGTTCTTAAGTTTGATTGACACTCTGGAAAGGTCAATTTAACTGATTTATTAGCTTTCAACAAACATATAGGCCTAACCTTTATATTGACTGGTAATCAATCAAAACAGTTTCGTTAAAAATGATTTTTAATAAATAAAAAATAAATTAAAAAAACAAAATTAGCAGAACAATGTTAGATATCGGCATCTTTGGTCCCTTCGTCAGTCACAGTTTTGTGTCACCCCTGATGAAGTATGGACTTTTCCGGAGCGTAAGTCAAACAGACCAGACCAGGAATACGCGCTTGTCTCACAAACGCACGTGTTGTCTCAAAACGCATGTTACGTATTTTATCAGTCATGGAGCAGTCATGGTTTGATTGACACTTTGGAAAGTCCATTGTACATAAAACTAACGGTCGTCTTTTCCTCCCCGAAATACGGTGCATTAAAAATGTATTTCACAGGGACAGCTTGGTGGAATTTATCAAGTACAGTAATTCACTAAAATCTAATAACTATGTGAAAGAACCTCCTGAATAGCATTGTTAGAGATACAAATATGATAGAAGTGATGTTTTTTGGGCTGCCTGGCGTGTTAACGTACCGAATACTCAATACGTCTCCAAAAAATTCGCAAGTATTTGGGGACGTACTGAGTATTCGGTAACTTAACACGTCTGGTAGGACAAAACATTAGGCCGATGTTTCCTGACGCAGACTCACGTCGAAAACAAATATAATAGTTGTTATACCAGCATCACATCGGACAGTTTTGTTGGCCTGACGCCTATTTGACAGTTATAAACCAACTGGAACTGAAGTTTAATTTGAGTTTTCCAGCTTTTAAGATCTGTGATATCCAATATTTTGTGTGGTAATTTATTTCAGTAAGCATCCAAATCCTATTCTTACTGGTAGTATTTACAATGCATAGGTCTGCATATTACTCTACGTAATGGAACCACATTGAATTGAAAATTAAGTTGAAGTTTGATTACATATCTAGACGGTATGAATGTATTTCAAATGATCAACATTATTTAAGAATTTCCTGGTCATAATTCCAAAGTAAAAGGCCTACTTGCTAGCGCACCTGAAAGAGGGCATCCAGGCCAGTTGATTAAAGGCTCCGTTTTAAAAGCACTTATTGAACTGCCTGCAATGAAGCAATTTATCACAGACGAACGCCAAACTCGGCGGATTATTCCATAAATCTCATTTTGTTTTTCTGTGCTCGCTGCCCATTCAAATTACCCGATAGGATAATGATGGCGGTGCTTTTCTCATAATATTGATTTCTTTGTTGTTTATACTGATCATGTTAATTGCATCATCAAATATAAGATAAACAAAATAAATTAGTTAAATGTCTACTAATAATGGAGACATTTTAAATATGCTCTGTCTTTTTTCCCTTTTAATCACACATTTATTCTCGCATTCGCTGCTAATTTTCATCAAATAATATGATTATGTACAA